CCCAGCGTCACCTCAATGAGATGGGTGGCATACAAGTTTATAAATATATACATGCATACTGTAGATGCAAATATACATACATACATACATACATACATACATACATACATACATACATACATACATACATGTTTTAACCAGTCCTTTTCCCTGAGGCTCATGTGCATCTTCAGAGCAGACATTTGAGGCTGGATGCTCATTTGGAAAGTTGTGAATATTGTATGCCTGTTCTCGCAACATGGCAGCTCTAGGAGGAACAGCTAGATACCAGCAACCAGTTGCCAAAAGACAATGTGATGAGTTGTATACCTTTGAATAAATGTGCCAGTTATGAAAGAGGAACAGGGCAACCAATGTTGAAGATGATCCTCAGCTATGAAAGCTCAGAAGGTGACTTTGGGTTAGTTGCCTCCTCAGCTGAATCTGCCTTACACTTTGTTTTGCTTACGGCAAAACGGAGGGAGGATTGTTGTGTTTGAGGCCCTACAGAAAAGTCACAGTGTAAGTCTCATGAATAGTAGATGGATGGATGAAAATATTTTATCTCTTCTTTCAGGTTAAAAATCTGGGGAGGAACTCGGGGGGGTCACAGGTATTTTGCCGGGATGGGAAGAAGGCCCAAGGCCTATTGGGGCACAATAGGACAGTATGGAAGGGAAATGGGTGGGGGGGAACATCTCTGCAGTCAGATGTAAGCCCTGCTGATTGACAAGCGCCCAAACTTCATTCACGTGACTTTAAGGGTACTGCAGCGGCCATAACTTTGAGCACAGGGTGTAAGTCCCTTTGTTCAGTACTGTTGTAATTTCAAACAGTCACTTAAGGAACGTTAGTAAGTCAAGAACTACCTGTACTCAACCAAACAGAAAATCAATTATCTCTACCAAATATTCTGTTACTTTGTGGCAACAACATCATGTATTAGCAACAAAATGGCTGAGAGAAAAACAGCAGAGGCCTTCTACCAGTTGTAAGAAACTATAAGATAACTCAGTCTAGTCCAGTGTTTCTCAACCATGACAACTTTAAGATGTGTGAACTTCAAAGCAATCCCCTAAAATAATCATTCAGGCTTCCTGTAAACTGGTTATAGTCCAGATGTACTGGACTATAAATTCCCATAATTCTTAGGCAGTAGTATTCTAATACTGGATATTGGAAGTATCCAACATGAGAAAGGGAGATATTGGCTAGAGTAGGATACAATACGTCATCATGGAATGCCCATCACATACAATATAATTCTGTCTTTCTTAAATGCCTCAGTCATTTTAACTTTCAAATGCATGCCAAGAAGTAGTTTATGTAATACAGCTGTGATGACCCATAGTCTCTCAAAATAACCCAAAACCCAAAACATATATTAAAGTCCGGTAAGGCCTTCAACTTAACTTCAGTGTTTAATTAGGCACAGTTTAAAGTCACAAAAGTAAATGAGGCAAACAGAAAACCAAAACAAACCGCATTGATGAGAGTTCCAAAGCAAGCCAAGATAAGTAACCATAAACTCCAGGAAAATAACCGAGAAAAGTCCATGGGAAGAACGCCAGCAAAGATAAACCTCTTTCAAGGTGAACACTAAATTGACTCCTGCAAATTCTAACTGAGCAGTTGCAAACTTATGTACATAGCTCCCACCTGCGAGCCACAAGGAGGATCATGGTAATCTCCTCTTGAGTAGACCTCGCTTTTCCCTGATCCTCTCCTCCCTGCGTGACCTAGGATGGATGGGGGATGGGCCTAGATCCTCCTCTGACTACTCAGCTGGCCTCTGCCCTTCCCCAGCCTCCTCCACCACCTCTGGAGCCACACTCCCACTCCCTGTTGGCTGTTCCTCCTCTTCCTCAGAGTCAGTCTCCACCAAGGGCATGACAACAGCTGTACTGTGCAGCAGGCTGCAAAAAACATGAGAAGCATGAGTGTGGCAGCTGTTTGTAACATTTTTAAACAACTATGTCCATAACAATTCTGGGGAAAGAAGCAGCTGCTTTAAGATACTGTAGGCAGATGCTACATCCTCAATCAGAAGCAATTTTTGAAGATAAAATTCAAATACATTCATAATCAAGTACATACACATTCAGTAACACACTTGTGTCATGTTTTATTAAACATTTTTTAATTCTTACTCAGTTCTCTGAGTTTCATTACCTACATCACTAGAACAGCAACAACCAGGGACAAATAGGAAGTATCACCAAATATTGTACAGGGTAAAGAATAATTAAGATTAAAAGGCTGAAAAATGCAGAACAATATTAATGGAAATTAAAAAATAATGCTATGGAAGTGGTACCTTCAACAGAATGAATCAATGTGACAAACAGAAAATAAAAGTAATATAAATATTTAGGATGAATTAAAGTGAGGAAATATCAGAAGCATCAATTTAGGGATCAGTGAAGGAATGAAAATGGTATATTGAAGGGTAGAATTGAAATTAGTGATAGAAATGTTAGCGCTCAAGAAAAAAATGTATGAAAAGGAAAGTATAGATCCTGTAACATTGTGATTCAGTTGATACAATTGGAGAATATAAAGTATGGAAGTAAGAAAAATGTGATATTCCCTGGACGGTTTAGTGTATTTATAGATAAATCTACTATATAAAAAAAACTAGATAATCCATTATCCATTCAATTTCAAAGATATTCCCTTAAAAAAAGAAACAGAATGACCAGAGAGGCAATACAGCAGTAGGAGTGACTTCAGACTTTCTGCTGGCTTCCCCATTGACTTTCCTTGTAGGAAGCTGTCAGGGAGCATTGGAAATGGCAATTACATGGCCATAGCCTAGTGGTCTCCAACCTTTCCTGCTTGGTGGCCCAGCACAGGGGGCAGGGAGCGGGTAGAGGATGGTTCTGTGTGAATGGCAGGTGTGTGTGCAAGCACTCGCCGCTCATGTAAGTGGAGCTTTGCGCATGAGCGCAAGCACCTAGTTTAAAACAGGCCGCAGCCTGGGGTTTCAGAACCCCTGTTGTAGATGACCACTGTGGTGCAACAGTACTGAAGCAGCCACAACCTTTGCCTAGTTTCAATTCAATAGGAGTCATGGATCCCAGATTTTGGGTGCATTCTGTAAGATAGTCCATTTGAGTTACATTAATTCAAATATAGTTGCCTTATGATGTACTGTTTGGCCCAATTGAAGGCTAGAAACAATCCAACAAGGTTTTAGCGATATAGTTTTGTGGCGAACTGATTGGAAAGATAAATATAGCTGAAGTTTTTATGGAAGTGATGTTGTGTTAGCCGAGATCCTATGTGATATGCCATGAAAGTTATATGGATTGTATGATGCAATGAGTACTTTGGATCTGAAATTTAACATTGCAAAGATTAAGCTAGCTTAGCTTAGAGAAATAGAAATGGAATGAATACTTACTATCTATAAGTGGAAAAAATTGATCTAATGAGTACTATGTGGAACATTTGTCAAAGGAAGCAAAAATGACTAGTTATAAAAGTATGCTTCTAACTCCTTTGTTACATGAAAAAGAGAGTTGGGTATGTCAGGAGAAACAGAAAGATTGAATTCAGTAGGCAAGGGGGAAGTAAATGGAGAAAAACAATTGCTACAATGTGAATTGAGAAAGAACATCAATACTATTCTGATGGCTGGTCACACACAGAGAATGAATTAAGGTCAAATTGTGGAAAAAATGCATGAAGGAAGAGTGAACGAATTGAAAGAGTAAGAATGAGAAAGCCATTAGAGGGAATCAATGAGATCTTCAGTAAGACAAGGACAAGAAATTCAAGAAACAAAGGCAAGGTGTAAGCAATGGATGAGCATGGGAAAAACAAAGGTAGTTTTCAAATACCAAGAGATAAGGAGAGGAACAGTGAACAGAGCTGGAATAATATTTACTTTTCTTTTGCTTGTTCATTGCATTTAATTTCTTTGTTGTTTACTATTCCTTTTCTCCACTTTGCATTATGTTGTTTGCCATGAAAGGGAATAGCATGATTGTGTGTGTGTGCGTGTGTGCGTGTGCACGCGCGCAATATGATTTCATTGCAAGTAGCCAAAACAATAAAATTAATCTGAAAGAAAACTACTAGTATCATCAAGCCTGGGGAAAAATCAGTTTTGCTGATTTCAGAAAGAAAGGCGGTTTCGAACAAAAGAAAGCAATGGACAATAATGATTAAATATGCTGAGTACAGAATTGTAATTATCTGTTGGGTTGAAAAATGGTAAGCTGTGTGCAACAAAATGGAAAAGATGGAGTTCCAGATGAATCGATTACCGACTTAAAAAAAATTAATGGAATACTCTATTTTATCCCTGGAGTGTCATTATAGACATAGATAGATAGATAGATAGATAGATAGATAGATAGATAGATAGATA